CAATCTCCGGAAAGATTCTCGAAGTTGCCGGTGGAAGAAATTGGCAATATTGTTAACCTGAGTCAAGCGCATGCAAGGTGCGGACTCGGCGTTTAAACCCTTGCAGAAATACAGTACAGTATAAAACTTACGAGTAATGGGCAGGCGAAGAAGAAAGAAGAAGGAGAAGAAGGAAAAGCAGGTCGAGCGTTCGGGATTAAAATATAAAATAAAAATCACGACGAGTTAAAACCAGCCCGTCCGCATGGCCACTGTACAAAAACGAAACGACTCATAAACCCGCGGAAACGTTCTACAGCCGGCATGAAGTCCCAGAAATTAGGCGATAAGACTGCCGCGAAGCCTGGAAAACGGGTTGTGTGAAATCGTTTAGCGAGAGAAAATGAATTGAAGAGCGATAAGATACATGCGGCGGATAAGCTCTATTCCGGGCCTTCCGCTGCAATTCCACCGGAGGAACGGTGTCAGCGGAATAAATGCAACAGTGCGAGGCAATCCGGGCGCGGAAACGTCCGCGATTTAGGAATTGATTGCGGCCTCGCCGCAAGACATCCGCGACAGGGGGGAAGAGGAAGTCGCGCTGCAAACTGAGACCGCTAACCACGATTTCATGGCGTCTTGCGGGAAAAAACGGTCTCTTTTACGATGCACTCGGGCCCGTTTCCTGGATCGATTTCAGGTAAAGCTGCGATGTTCATTCCCTGGGCACACGGGGTGGTGCAGCAGACGGAATGCCGGCTGCTGACGAGAAACGACGTACGGCGTAATCCCGCGCGCAATAAAAGAAGAAGAAAACACTGCGTTTACTCAGTTCCATTGCGAATCCCTCGCATCAAAACACGTTCAAGACTTCTGAAAAGCGCAAGTCTTTCAATATAGAAGAAAAACAATCTGTATTCCATCAGAAGTACAAGTGAGACCCCCTCATGCGGACAATTCGACAAAGGGACATTTATTTTTCAATTTTAAAAATCATAAAAAAGGCCCAACATAGGGACACTGGACATGAGGACATTGCATGATAAAATTGCCAATAAATGTTAGGAAAATTGACTTTTGTTAGGCTTAATTGCAAGAAACAGATATTTCCAACCCTAAGATCTATGTAAGAAAAAGTCTTTGGTACTATTCCCATCCATTCAGCTAATTGAAAAAAATTACCTGTAGCACAGAGGGACTTCCTTCTCTTTCTGTGACTTGGATGTTATTTTTACAGATGCCAACATTTCAATTAACTGTACAGTAGTATACAGTACTATTCAATGCTCCAAATGTTCTTATTGGGTTGAGAAGATATTCACTGAATCAAATTCAAGCGGCAAGCAAAAAGTTTTTTTCATGGAATTCTGAAGAATATTTCTTTTATAAAACACCAAATAAAAATTATATAATGTAAGTCTATGGGAAAACAAGACTTGACTTAGGGACAATTCAACTTAGGGATACTCTTTATGCAACAATTATGTCCGCATCTGGGGGTCTCACTGTATCTTCGTTCCATGCCTCGTACCCTAGTCTCGCATAATTTCATTTATAACCCAAAGATGAACTCCGACGAGACGAAAAACGGCATTCGATAATGCAAAACCATTGCACCGGGACGACTCGTGAAAATACCACGAAGGGATGGAAATTCTCAGCTGCAGTACTTCCACTTCCGACAATCCCGACAAACTCCGGCGTTTATTCATCAGTCCCGCATGATCATAGCGCACGTTCTCTCGCATTCGAAAGTCGGTTGGGATATTCCAATAAATTTCAAAGGACGAGTTTCCTGTTTCGCATCTACAAGGGTTAGTTCAAAAGCCCTTTTATTTTACTAATTCACTGTTGGAGGCACGGAAATGGATATAATTTTCGCGAAGTATTACATGATCATTTTTATAATTACTTTGATGCCAATTATTCATAGGACTGTTGACACACGACAGAGATTGGATAGTGGGCATAATATCTTCGGGGAACTAAAGCTTACCTTTCACGTTTTAATGTCCTCAAAATTCGCGAACAGTTTACCTGCTACCAAATATTCGAAATCATTCGAAAAAACTTCTTGGTGATCTGGCAAGATTCCTGATCTGAAAGCAATACGTGAAAAATACTTCAAATTTGGCCTCGTCGCACCTTCGTGATACTGAATGTGTCGGATACCCTGCAATGCCAATTGGTCACAAAAACAAAAAGCTTCCAAGGTCAGGACTACAATCGTAAAATCGCCTCAGTAAAATAGCCGGGGTAACCTCACGTTTGTTATTAATTCCACGAATGCCTGAGGATTCCTGCTCGAACTTTTTAATGATGAAAAACTGGATTCTGAAGTACAAAACGGTACGATCAATGCTTTTAAAGCGTCCCTCAACGTTTCGGAGAAAAACGCAAGTTAATTCCACGAACAGCATGCAAATGACTCTTTAACACAATTTTAGAAGGCTTCACGAGAGTCATGGTCACCGAAAATTTCCTGAATATGTCCAACACGAATTGCGAGAAGTCAAGGAATTGTTGAAACGAATATCAACACATACAGGGCATTAAAACACCACATATATGCAAATGCGATTTGTCTCAATGAATCGCAAATGGCTGAAATAGAGAATGGTCTGCCTCCTACTAAGAGCTAGGAAAACAGTTTCCGAAAATGATGCCATTATTTTTGGAAAAGTCGTTCTTGAGGGAAAAGTGCTGGAGTCTCAACATCTCGCGACTCGCAGCATCATAAATTGTAACCCATAGCGGCACCCTTACGTCATTTGCTAACCACAAAGATCATCTTATTATTCTATACATGCTTAAGCACTTAAATGACTGCACTAAACGTTAATGAAGCGAATGATGCGAAAAGCGTAAGGCTCGGCTTGGTGACAGCCGAATAAATTTCTGCGTCTCTCAAGGGAACACAATGCATTTGTATTCTATGGAAGATCGACGTTCAAAAAATATTTAAAAAATACGAGATTCGCAGACTTTTTCCGTGCTACGAGATTCGGTTTTTTGGTTACCAAAATGTCTGAGCAGGAATCCTAAAACCCATTTGTGGAATCAATAAGAGGACTCTGCTAATTTATCGAGGCGATCTTGCCATTTGTAATCCTGACCTGGGAAACTTTTCGCCAGTTGGAATTTCAAGATATTTTCCACATTCATTTTCTCAAAGTTGAGATAAGGCTAAGATTGAAGATCGAAGGATTTTTGACCCATGGTTTCGAGATCTAGAACATTGTCAGATCACCAAAGAGATTTTCCGAGTGATTTCACATATTTAGTTATAGTCAGCAGCACCAAATTTTGACGACATGAAGAGCTACAGGTAAACCTAATTTCCACGACGAAACGAGGTTCACATACTAATCTCTGCATTTTCTCAATTTCAACTGGGCTATTCAAGTCTTATTCGTAAAAATACTAGGAGGTCTCTTGTCGTCGAAGATCAATTCCCACGAACTAAACGTGGAGGTGAGCACCTGTTGAGGAACACAATAAGCCATAGGCAGGCTGACGAAAGTTTTCTGAAGAAATAAAAAGGTACACACCGTACTGCTCAACCTCCACGTAAAATTACAATAGTTTATAATTCGCATTCCAGGTACAGTATAACTATTCCCGAAGTCCCAGAAGAACCTGAAGAATCCCTACAAAATATTGTGATACAAAAATGCATCACAGTAATTGTTATTTACATACTCTTCGGTTAGAAAATTTCAGAATGATCACTCCTGTAACATTTCTGACCCAACAAGCGTTATTATTTTTTTTTACCAAAAGATAATCTCGGATTTTATAAAAGTTCTCCTCTTACTATCTTTACGAATGGGTGTTCTGAGGCATTTTAAAGCTGCCTCGTTGAATGTGGTACATCTTTCACACCCAATCTGCGAACAGTTTCGGTCAACATGTGCTAATACAGTACTGTATTCGGAAACCCCTCAACAGGTCATATCACGACGTTCTATTCACGGATAAAAAAAAAATCCATGACCAGTGCTCATTGCACTAATTTGTATAAATGCCTATAGCACGTTTGAAAATATTCGCGGAGCCACAGAGAAAGTTCCATGAAGGAGAATCCATGAACAATTCCCGCAATATGCATGGGATTCAAAGGCATCTAATGCCAAGTTTCTGCCAGTCTCATTCTCGCGTCGAACAGACGGAACAAAATCAGAAACGAAGATTCCACGCAATTACAAAAGAAAACATCACATCTGACACGCATGCGACCGGACCATCTGCAGCGATCAAACTTATCTTCGGTCCCAAAATGGAACCGGTAAGACAACCTCCTCTAGGCCCACTATGCATCACTGGAAGGAACTTCATAGGAGCGATACGTAATTTGAGAATATGGGATTCGAATACAGCTGTGGTCCACGCGCAACTGAACTGAGCCAACAATAATCTCTCCAAGATTTTAGGAGGGAATCTTCAGTACAATTCTCTTGCAGCTATCTGCAGCAGACAAGAGTAAATAAATCGCCAACCGGTGTTACAACAAGATTCGAGAATACACCATCTCGTGAAATTGTGCTGCCGCATATTTTTACAACCATCGATACAGTACTTTCAAGAAACTTGCGGGAAGAGAGAGGGTTATATTGCGACACAAGCTGAGATGGAAAGGGCTGAAGTTTACCGGATAATTCTGGGAAAACAAAATTTTCAAAAATAAGTCTGTAAGCGGGATGCGCTCCCCGTTCACTGTCGGGAATACTTGAAACTTGAGATTTCGACGACATATTTTTTTTATTTTCTTGCAGAAATCGAAAGAGGAAATGCATGATGCAGTACGAGCGGGGTCGTGAGATGATGGAAAGCGCATCTCACGATGCAGTACGTGTTGCCGCGGATCCTGCACGAGGCAAGTGTGGAGGACTTCTGCCTTGTTTTTCTTCTATTTTTTTTCTCGAGAAAAGAGAGGATTTTTGGCTCAGTGGAGTTGCAGCGCGCTGACAGGAAGAGGGCGTAAGAAACAAAAGGAAAGGAGATAAGAGGGTGAGATTTACCTCGATGGTCTCGGAACTAGCTACAGATCGTAACATATTGCAGCCATGGACGTGCCGTGGGCAGCACATGCAGCGGGGAGGAGAGGAGCAGGCGCCGAGCAGGTAAAGAAGATCCTATACCGAGCTTTCCCTGTTGGGGCGCCCGATGAGCGGGATCTGCGATGGGTCCATCAGCATGTCGGGCGCAGGCTGGAGGCGAGTCAACGTGCGCGCGTCCATGCCGGCCATCGGGACTTGGATCAGGGTCGGGTGCTGCTGCATGGGTAGGTGGACGCCGTGCGGGAGGGTCATGGCGGTCGCGGAGTTGCCCGTGGCGGCCTGGTGGCTCAGTCCCATGCGCTGCGGGTCCATCGTGGCGTACATCAAGCTCGTCCCGTCGTTCCGCCCGCAATAGGTCACGTAGGTCCCGTCGGCCGGCACTCGGCTCGCCATCGATACATCCAGTTCCGAATACAGCATCTCGTTCTGGGAACAGAAACCACGAGGAACAGTTAGGATTCGCCTTTAATCGAGAGCGTTTTTCCGCGCTTACGAACCAGTCCAATCGACTCACTCATTCTTGCACGGAAGTGCGTGCGAAACGTTTCGTTTTATTTTAAGTTTTGACCCTTCAGTCATTTCGTAAGCTGGGGTCATTATCGGGGTTCGACGCGTCAATGCAAGCACGGTTCGAATGTCACCTAATCAGGCGATGGGGTGATCCGTCTAATGTATCGCCAGCCTCAAAATTAGAAAAGGTCGACCTTTCCCAGCCAGAAATCATGATTCATTTAATTCATTTTTATTTTCTAGATGGAGCACGCGTAAAATTATGTTGTCAAGAAATCACGCCTCCCTTGCGGTTAGAAGCGAGTTGATGTTTGCGATTTCGAAACACAAATTAGCTATCAAATTAAATAATTTTAGAGTCATTTAAATCATTAAACGTAAACTGTGTCAAGGCTGAATATTTAGAAAGAAAAACTAATTGTCTTTCGAAGAATGTATCAGCGGTAGGATATCAGAAACACTGAAACTACCAAGTTTTTTTTTTCTTAGCTTGGTTTAACCTTCGACCGTGTTCCCATTTTTCAAACATTTATTCTGAAATAATCGTATTCCCGTCTCTTAAGGCACTAGCATTCAGTTCTAGATCGCTGGTTGTTCGAGTTGCAGTGTTTCACAGAAGGTTGAAAAATGCTAATTATTTCGGCGGAATAATCATTCAAATAAAAACGAATAAAAATACACCTTTGAAATAAACAATGAAATATTCTAAAGATTGCTGCACCCAAAAACGCAAGCGGTACGTGACGTCACATTTTTTGACGTCATGGAGCACCATATAATCCCTATGGGCTGCCGATAGATGGCAGTTCACATGAAAGATAGTTCAAATCAGTAATAATTAAATATTCGTCTGACCAATCCGATGAGCCCATCGCGTCACGAGCAAACAAACTGATTCCGATTTCAATCGACAAGTTTTCGCTTCTCACGTATGTGCGAATTTTTCAATCTTCGTCATGTTTTGCAATCGTGCAGTGTTGAGAGACATAGTACAATACCCCTTTCATCGGGACTCCAAGGACATTTTTAACCGCACCTCTGAGTTGATTTTGTGTTTCGATACCGTTTTCGATCAAATCTGTTCTAGCTACTTTTATTTGACTCGTGTCGAACGAAACTCCCAGGACTATGTGTTGCATGGGTGTGAGAACGTGTATTGAGGTGCTTCGATAAAGCAAGGTTTCGATCTGTGGAGAAGCATCGTGAAGGGTTGGAAGGGTAGAATCCAATCCTCGGATAAAAAATGCAGCACAATGATAGAAATGGGCCACGAAGATGCAAGATCTTGTTACAAATTTTTCCACGGTTGAGGGAAGGAGATCAGCACTGATACGTGTGGGTCTGCGTGTTACGCCCAGTTCATACGACCGGGCTTTGATGGGTGCAGCATAATCTTCGTCCCACTCACGGGGTTTCTAGAGCCTAGGTCCCGCCTCGTTACTTCCCGAAAGAAATTTTCCCGGCTATGACCTGTAATTACCCCTTTTCTGGTGACCACGAATGCTCCGGGTTCATCGGGGGAATAGACATCATCAAGCCGCCAATGTGAGGCTCAAGAGCTCTCGATTTCGGTGGGGAGGTTTCCGACCAGAATACATTAACTGCACAGCCCGACATGGGTTGATAAATGGCAAGAAAAACGCCGAGGCAAACTCTATATTTCCCCCACTACGACCTCATTTTCTTTCCGAATTTTTCCTTTTTTCGGCGTCGGAAATTCAAATTTGATGAGATCATACATAATTTTTTCCACGAAAGGTACTAGGCGGCTCCGGAATAATTCACCCATCGTGGTCGCTGAATGGGATTGCCAAGAATGTTCCTGTGCACGTTTCGTCGCCAGAAATTCGGCGTCATGCCTCATCTCCGGCGGTTGTTTGCATACATTTCTGCCACGTCCTTTCACTTCACACCTCCTCATGAATTTTCAAGTTGGATTACCATGGATAACCTTTTTGGATAGTTCAATATAGCCGGAAATGAATCGCTCCAGGGTCGAAACCAACGCTTTAGAACATGCCGATACACCATAAGAGAGCTCTTTGGTTTTCCGAGCAAAACCCTGGATGTTCCCCACGTCGTACAAGAACGTCCCATGATCGTGTCCCTCGTGAAAAACGTTATAAAGCAGTCATCATAAGGTGGAGCTTCCAACTAACTAACAGCACTGTACTGGCGATAAATCGTTGTTGAAGACGAACCAAGGTTTTTGAACTTAGATAGCCATTGAAGGCAATAATGACATCAGCACGGAAATTGAAGAGTATCACGTGGCGAGTCCATCTCGTAGGTGAAAACGATCGTATGCGATGCAAAGATGGTAATAATTTTTTCCAAATTCTTTTTTTCACGACAGATTGACATACAATCCAGTCGTCATTCATTAATTTTGAATACAGTATATGGGAATACGTTGGTGAAAAAATCACTCTGATTAAACGGGTAGAACGACCTCGTTTATGAGGAATAAGCGAAGGGAAGAAAGAGAACTTTTCCGACGTCAAGACCATTTCATACCGTTAGCGCCGGAGGTAGAATAATACAGCTTCCCGTAACTAGAAGATACAATATCGATTCAATCCGTGTGAATGTACTCCGGGAGTTAAGCAGATTACCCAGCATAATATTCTCCCAGGGCATTGGAGCATCGAGGACACGCACACGATGGGATTCCGATGCCCGAGCTCGCCTTCCCGAGTAAATTTCCCTCGGGCCGGAATGAAAAGTACCCGGGCTTCTGCGGAATTTCCGCGGGAAACAAGGGCCGATCCCAGGGTCTGAGGAATCGAATCGGTTTCGGCATTCGAGGAGATGCGGATCACTGCTTGTTCTGGAACAGCTATCCCGATCGTCGAAGTCATGATGTACTTCGATAAATTGTAGCCGTCGTCTTCCATTTGCTCGAAAACGATTGCACTTTTCCGCAATTGTCTGACAGCAGCAAAATCTCCCAGCCCGCCGTTTGGTATAGCAACCCCTAAATTCTAAACCTCCGAAATGTATCGACCATTTCCGGAAGAAAACGGTTCAGTACTTCCTATCAACGAAAAGAGCTCGATAGTCGGTCGCGACTTCTTGTCCCTATGCACCTTTCGTTCTGTCTCTTGATGAGTCTCCGAAATGAGTCCCACGTGTAATTTTTTGAAGTTTCAAATCTTGACACGTCATGGAAAAATTTAATTATTTTGGACGAAAGAAAACTGGGATTTTTTACACGAACGGCACAGACGTCAATCAATCAGATCGTAAAAAAATGAAAATCACGAATAGAAACCTAGAATATCCGGCTAATGATCGGGCAATTTTTACGCATTATCGAAAGTACCGTACATCATTTACTCGAGTACCACGCGCACGAACATTTTGTTTTAATAAAAACGAAAAAACAAGAGGGTGCGCGTCATGGAAGTGTATAACATAACAAATTAAGCTCTGGTACATCTCATACTTGATTGAAACATAAAATTTGAAACCAATTTATACTGACAAGAAAAAAATGAAAATTATGAAAATTCCTGTACAACATTCAATTTGACGGCAGTTCGTCAAAATTTAAATTCTGATGCATAGTATTTTCAAACTCTTTCACTCTTCAGTCTCTAAAAATGAGGTGCGCTTCAAACTCCGAAGTCATTTTATTTTAGGTTGAAGAATTCGGTTGCGCGCCTTCAGGGTGCGTGGTACTCGAGTAAATACGGTATAAAACATTATTATTTAATAATAACCTGACTTATGTCAATACCAACGTGATGAGCAACCGTTAAGAGTAAAGAAATAGTGTACCAGAGATGAGAAACCCAGTTGTTCACGCATTTTCAGGGATGCCGTTCGTGCCTTTTTCTCAGGGGCACGGAAAATTGAGGCTTTACTGTGCAGCGATTTATCTTCAGGTAATAAAAACGATGTTCCGAGCGAATCAACGTCATGTTTTAGGGCACAACGTTCGTGAAACTATGATGTACGAACATAACCTTGACTGATCCTGACATGCATGAGGAACGGCTCCGGAGTGCGGGGAATGGAGCACATGGGGCATTTTTCGGGGGAAACACATCCGAGACAAGCAGCGAGGGAAGAAGGGATTACCAAAAACAGCAGCATGACAAGTTGAAGAGTGATATGCTCGCGTTGAAAGGGGGGTTAAAAGGAAACGTAAACTCGCGACGCGAATGAACCCCGGTCACGCCAGCTGCCGAGGGGCCAGAGCCTGCGGTTGCCGTCGGTCGACCGCAACCCAGAAATCGGTACTCCCGGTTCCTACACTGTGTGTGTCTAAGGTTTATCCTCCGTCCATGGCCCATGCAAGCGACCAATGGGCGACGCAATTGCCACAAATCACGGAATGCCGACGACCATCGTTTCCCGAGTCCCGGGAAAGACACAACGGCGCGATGCGAAAGCGAGCCTCGCAACTGAGGACAAAACGCGAGTGACAAACGCAGCCGGGGGTTTAATCGATTCCGCCCCACGAAAAATGACTCGGGCTCTTTCCTTCTTCCGCTGTATACTCCGTGCCTCCGCAGCATCCCGCCGACAGTCCGGGCAAGCCCCACGCGAAGGGAAAAATCGGCTCAACTTTCAAGAAAAGCCCTTTCAAAGTTGGATTTCGAAAGGTTGGACTACCTATCGTTCAAATGAATAGTTGGTTAATTATTCCAAGTTCCATGTGCTGAACTGTACTTCAGGGAGGACGGTCCGTAAGTTTCGAGTGATTAGAATGAAGAAACAAGGATTTCCACCGAATTTCAACGGGGAAAAGCTTACCATCTCTCATCACCTTTCCGTTCTGGGACACGTTAGTGTCGTTCGGCATAATTTTAGCGGAATCCCGAATTTCTTCATGCGCACGACATTCAATCATTGACACATGACAAACTTCGGTTCTCATCATGATCTGCGCTTAAAACTGGCAGGGATTTTTTTTTTTTTTTGCAAGATAAGGAAGGATATAATGAATAAATAATACAATACATAAAAATCGTGAACATCTCCAGGGACGGAAAATGAGAGAGCTTCAAAACTCTTGAATCATCTTAAACAGAAAATTAATCACCAATTTATGTATGCAGTACTCGCAAATATTTTCAACTATGCTACAAGTAGCATCGTAGAAAAATTCGGACTGCATCAGTCATCAAACAGACTTCTTGTGATCCAAAAAAAAAGGTTTTCTAATACTGTATCTGGAATCCGATGATTGATTACTTCGGGGCGCCGGGACAATGAAACGCTCATGGAACTTTTCAAGATTTCCATAATTCTAATGTACTATTAGACCGGAATGCTGTCGTAAAATAATTAGAGATGTTCAATCATACATGCATTCTGAGTATTAGGGAGAACGTCTGTCTGAATGAGGTTTCCATGCGCTCCACAAAAAAGACAGTTTAAATTTAAATAGCTTTAGATAAAAATCCTTTAGACAATAGAACCAAGGCCACAATAGGCCTGCCCATGAAGAGATCGAGCACCAACTACAGTACTTCATCCCACCCAAAGATTTACATGATAAACTTGA